ATTAAAATGGAAAATGTAGAATTTATTTCAGGACAAGGGTTAAAAATAAGGAAAATTTTTTGGTAAAACTAAAGTCTATGTAAAACACATGGACCTTTTTTTTAATTGCTACATATATACTCCCCCCGTTTGGAAAAACCCTTCCCATTTGATTTGGGGTCAAAAATAAGGAAGTGTTAAATTATAGTTGATTTCCAATTTTGCCCCTGATGTGATGTGTAAAAATAAGATATGATGGATAGATTATTAGAGAAAAAGTATGATGTGATAGGTAGGGTATGAAAAAGTAAGGGTAAAAGTGGTTTTTTAATAGAAAGAGGAAGTGTTTTGTTGGAAGTGGAAAAAATGAAAGAGGGAGTGTTTTTAAGAACGGAAGGAGTACATTTTAATAGTATTATGATAATCATTTCTTTAATTTCTTTTGTTACAAATGTACTTACGTGAGGAAATTCATTCATTGTTAAATAGAACTGAGATTCATGACAGAAGTACTCATAAGATTGAATGCATGATTCAAGATTCTCTCCTAAAAAATTAAAATTATAGTCCCTGCATTCACTTTTCATGTTGACTTGACACGTATATTTAGGTGTAGGAAAAAAAATGTCAGACTTTCAAAAATGTCATGCATACTGTAAAAATTTTAGAACTCTTTTTCATATTCAAAAGCAATAAAAAGTATATGGGTGGTAAAGTGAAATGGAACCATTGATATTTATTTTTAAAAAGTAAGTTAAAAAAGTAAATGAGAAAAAAAATTCAGACGGACCAAAAAGAAGAGCAGGAAACACTTGTGTCTTTTGAAAAAATTATATTTAAAAACAACATTAAAAATTCTACAAAATAATAGGTGACAACACTGTATTCTTTTATCAAATGATCAACAAAAATATACAAACAAACAAAAATTATCGAGAGATTGTAATAGTAAGAAGGTAGAAGAACTATTGGACAAAAAAGTAATGGACAAATAGTAGAAGAACTCTTTTCAAAGACAAAATTTTGCTCGTTGATCGAAAGGGTAATTCATTTTGAGACGGAGAGAGAGTGTGGTGTGGATTAGGAAGATGATTAGGAAGCTACCATATCAATTATATTATCATGATTGGGAGACAATATGCTCAAGTAAGGGTGTGGTGTGTGGGGCCTACATTTCTCAAACACCGATGAGGAGTTGAAAATTTAAAATTATGAATGATAGTGCAGGGAAAAGGTTGTACACATTGGCCCAACGGCACAAGAGACGGCCGCCGTTTCCCCCCACACTTGAGTTTTCAAACCTCTGTGTGAAACCCCCCACCCCAACCAAACGCCGTGACTCGTTTGACCCCGACCAAAAATTATTGCCATCTCCTCCCTACCAAACAAATAATGGCGCCATGGTTCGACACGGCTCCGGTTTCAAACCGTTTCTTGAATCTAAGGTTGTTTCATTTTCTCTTGTAAATATTGTGTAAACCTTAGTCCGGGGGTCTAAATTGTGAAAACGAGCCCGTTTCCAACACTCCCAATAATCACATTCGATCATAGGCGTTTCAACTCACGATCGATATGTGACCGTATTGAATAAGGATGGGGAAGAGGTAAGGAAGAAGAAGAGGGGGGTAGAAGTAGGGTTTGGGAAAATATTAGTATGATTCTTGATAGAAGTAGGGTTTGGGAAAATATTAGAATGATTCTTGATAGAAGTAGGGTTTGGGAAGATATTAGTATGATTCTTGATTGATAATAATCTTAAGAAGGGTTAAATCTCTATCTATAGATAGGGTTGACAAGTCCAAACCCTAAAAGAATCATACCGGAGTAATTCTTAATTTTGTTGCTTCAATAAAAGCATTGAAGTAATTAACTTGAAAAAAATTATAATTTCGCTCATCAAATAAAATACAGTATAAATTATGATAACTAATAAATACTTACTACTCCGTAATAAAATCTCCGTAAATCAAAATTATTGTACTGTATCAACGACCTTTTATTCTTTCTTTAATTTATGTTATATTTTGATAATTAGTTCAAAGCCTTAGGGCGTGTAAGTGATGAGTTTCACTTGATGGTACCGTAGCTCTAAAATATTTCACAAAAGTATCTAAAGCCAGTTTTCAGATTACAACCAGGTCACTTTGGGCCTTATTCAAATTTTGTATATTTCTAATTTTTAATATTGACTCACTTTTTTCTTTATCTCAAATTCTCTCCCCTTACTTCTCGAAAAAGGGTAGAAGTGGCCGGGATTGAAGAAGAAGAAATGAGAGTGAATTTGAGAAAAAAAGAAAAATGATTGGATCAAAATAGAAATTAGAAACATACTCCGTATAAAATTACAATTACGCTCATAGTGACTTGACAGTAACTTGAAAATTGGTTCCATGTACTTTTGTAAAATCCCTTCAAAGCTCAAATATTTTTGCGAGTGAAAATAAAATCTAGGCACTAAAGTAATGCTCCTTCCGTCCTGATTTTTTTTCTATTTTTGACTTTTGGGAAGGGGGATATAGAAGTTTGACCAAGACGAAACAACGATTATTTTAAATTAGTTAGGCTCGAGAAATGTCAAAATGGATAAAACGTAGAAGATAGTTGAGGTATGTTCAATTAGATTAAAAAATAAGGGCAATTATGTCCATTTAGACAAAATTGAAATGTTTTATGAGACGAGTAAGGAGTGAAAGTTGAAATGTTTTAAAGAATACAGGGAGTAACTAATAAGATCAAGTTAAAGAGAACAAACTCTTAGAATACTTAATAAGAGAAGCCTCTACACAAAACATGCTATGTACGTACTCCGTAATGGAAAATGTTTGGTTCACAAACAGAATAGTCACAAATCCTACAAACTTACTATTTGTAAACTTTAATATAAAAAAAGTCGTTTGGAATAATTTTAAAAAGAAAATAAAAAATATAAATGGTAAGTTTGTGAACTTTGTGATCACTTTATTTGTGAATCTAGCATTGCTCCTCCGTAATACATATCATTTCTCTCTTTACTTTCATCATCTTCCTTCTCCGTAATACATTTGCTTTTTAGGAGAGATTTAAAGGAGTGTATTTTGGTATTGAATTTCCAAAATTGTCCTTTGATGTGATGAGTAAAAGTATGATTTGATGGATAGATTATTAGTAAAAAAGTATGATGTGATAGTTAGAGTATGAAAAAGTAAGGGGTAAAAGTGACTTTTTAATAGAAACGAGAAGTGTTTTGTGGGACGGATAAAAAAAGAAACGGGAAATGTTTCATAGGACGGAGGGAGTATTGTACAAGATACTCTCCCATGACATAATAAAATACCCTGAATGGCTTGCTACTATCAAAAAAAGGTACGTGGTTTTTATTGATTTAATTGCACGTAATCATGCATGTGTTCATATTATTTATTATATTTCGACATGCTTATATATTATACGAGTGATTCAATGGTGGACCTAAGGTCCTTACGAGCCTTCTCACCATTTTTTTAATTTTTTCAATGCTTAATTCAATACTTGAAATACTTATTTAGTATATATGAAGATCCATCATGAACCTTAGATGTATGTAATAATTTGCCATTGTATATTGATCCGTAGTTCCGATAAATTAACATACATTAGTTGTATAAGAAGGAATTGAATCTCTTTAAATGAGAGTGAAACAAAAAAAAATCATCCTATATATGAGTAAAAAACATGAAAATATCAAAATATGAGTCCTAAGTCTTTTAAGATCAAATAGGAGTATAATGACAGTGCGAGGTAAGAATATGTGTTTGAGAGTGTGATAGAAAGACAATGTTATATGGCAGTGTGATCACTCAATTATCGGCAGTCCACAGCGGCACTCTAGTGGCCGACAACGGTAAAAAATGACAGAGTGGCAATGATAATGTGGCAGTTGAAATGTGACAACGTAACAATGAGGGTTTGAACACCTATTTAGGTCTTAAAAGACTTAAAATTCCTATTTTTGTATTTTTATAGTTTTTACTTGGAGTTTTTCCAAAAACAAATCAAAAGGACCAAAATGGGCATGATAACAAATTTTAAATTTAAAAAGGGAGTAGGTTGTAAATTTTGACTCTCTGATTGCCAATTTTACCCCTTTTTTATTTTATTTCTTATGCAAAGTGAATAAATCCCTAAATATCTTGATCACTTTCTTTCTTGGCCGACTTGGGTGCAACACCTTCCGGGAAATAATTTATATATATCCATCCTTACATAGTCTCAATATTCACATTTAAAATGTGGACTTTCTCGCATTTTTCATGGACTTATATATGAATATTTTTCTTTTTTTTTTTGTAAAAGATCCATTTCTTTTTTGCTATGAATATACTAAATCTCATAAAATAAGCATGAACCTTAAGTCCACGGAAAAATTTCTTATATTTTTGTCTCTTGAAAAAAGAGCAAAGCTTTGCGATCAAATCATGCCAATTTCACTCCTTCCTCTCTTTTTTTATTATTTTTATTTATAATTCTAAGCAATTAAAATTTAAAATATTTTTACTTCAATCAACAAAAGAATTCACACTTTTATATGACTACATCCAATAACTTCAATTTTCAAACACCATAACATGGATATTTTTATCACTCTATGTCATATTTGACTACATCCAATAAGTTCATTTTTCAAACATCATAACATACATATTATTATCACGTACTCTATGTCATACTCTTTTATACGGAGTACTTATCAAGCCTCATCAAACCCCACACTACACATAGCCCTATATAGAAATCGGTTACTCGCCCATGATAATCGATAGCAAAGTTTTTTTTTTTAAAAATGAATCAACACAAACAAAACATTTCCAACATTAAAAGAAATCCCCCCTCCGCCCATTTGACTATCTTTCTTACAAATAAATTGATCTATTATTATTATTATTATTGATGGTGATCTATTATTATTTTTTATTAGTATTTATGATTGGATATAATTGAATTTCTAGTTTCAAGCATATTAAAACTAAAGAAATACCCCTAAAAAAAGGAGATAGAAGCTGTAAACCAAACAAAACAAAAAAGTTTGTTCCCTTTTTAAAACAAAACAAATGTGCCATGTCCTAAAAGTCCACATTTGGTACAATCTTTTTCCCCAAATTTGCGGGAGAATAAATAGCGCCTTCCAATCCCCCCACCCCCCCAATCTCACCATTTCATTCTCTCTTCTTCCCTTTTTTTTCTTTCCCCTATTTCCATGGCCAAAAAAATTTACCCCCAGACCCCATCATCTTCTTCTTCTTCATCTTCTTCGTATATCACTTCGAAGCGCGAGAGATTTACAGTGTGGATGAAGTCGCTGGTCTTCCATGGAAATGGATGCACGGTGTTCGATTCCAATGGCGACATCGTCTACAGGATCGATAACTATAACAGAAAATGCAGCAGAGAAGTTCATCTCATGGATCTCCATGGCCGAGTCCTCTTCTCCATTAGACAAAAGGTAGGTTCATCACAAGCCATTAATCAGTTCGATTCGAGACCTTATTCATTCATTCATTTTTAAATCAATGTGAGATTCTAACATTAACGATCTGGAACTGGTCATTTGAGCTTCATAGATCTCAAAATCATTCCAAAACATAGATTCAATAGGGGAATAATCGAGCTGATGTGAAGAGTAATTGGTTTGCTCTTTTCTCCATTCAATCAATTTAAACGGAGGATATGNGGAACAATTTGACATCGAGTATCGGTGTAGTTGAATAGAATTTTGACCTTGATTTGTAGTTCATGATGATTTGTGTTTTGCCATAGTTTTGTAACTTATGTATTTGTGCTTTATGTGTTTTAAGTGTAGTCGATAGCTATCTTGCACGGATTCTTCAGATAGGTGCCCACACCTAAATCCTTATATATTATGAAAAAAATTGACGTTTCATGCTTCCGACCCCGTCTAGGTGCAACTTAGGTTGATAGTGTAGGTATGCTTCTTTCTTGTGCTTGTCCTCTTATTTTGCTCATACTACTTGTTCACTTTTGAAAACACTTTCAAGTAGGGATAAGATCTGCATACACAACTCTCTTTGGAGCTTACTTTTCTGGGGGATTTTATGGTGTTTCTGGTTGTTTTTGTTGTTGTTGAAATCAATATTGGATGAAGAAAGAAATATGAATAAATCTTGAAGAGGTTTTGATCTGATGTTTGTGTGCAATGGGGTTGTTATAAATCTGCAGAAATTGTCAGTTTTTGGAGGATGGAACGGGTACAGATGCTGCAACAGCGAAGCCATTGATGAAGAAGTTCTATGCTTTCGGGTTCGGAGAATTCGGAATTCTTTCTGGGGACATTCGAAGCACTACTCCGTTCATCTTGCTTCTCTTCAACCCGAAGACAACTGTTATCAGATCGTTCACTTGCCCGGAAAATCCGCCTTCAAGATTGTCAACAACAGATCCACACTCTTAGCAGAGGTGTGCGCTAAACCTGACAAAGATTGATCCACCTATTTTTGACCCGAGACTCACCCTACTCCAAAATTTTGAACAAAGATTTTGTTAACGTACCCACTAAAGTATGGTTTGTTCCCTTTCAAAATCACTTATTTTAGTATGAAATACAATATGATAAATTACTTCTTTTGAGTATATGAACTTGAATGCTACATATTTAATTTTTTTACTATTTATAATATTTTTTGCATATATTGATAATTAACTAAATATTCAATAGAAAACATTATAAATGCTAAAAATCCGTGGAGTCGATCCGTATCCGATGACACTTGGGTTATTAACATGCATTTTTCAATCCAAACTCAAATCCGAAACGACGTGTACCCGACCTAATGGACATGTTTTAAGTCTGTTTTACTGACCAGATGTGACATGGGGTTTTGCAGGTGAACCAAAAGCAGGACAAATCCGGAGTTGTTTTGGGAGATGATGTGTTGAGTTTGATGGTGGAACCTCAAGTTGATCATTCTTTAGTTATGGCTCTAGTTACAGTCTATGGTTTGATCAACCAAAAACTATGATACCATTTTGTGTTTCTATATTTATTCATTTCTATTTAGACACACACACACATATATATACACGGATATATATACACATAAACATATATAGTTGTACATTGTTCAAATCATCAAAAAAATTCTAACCATTCGTTCATCGCCTATTAGAACATACGGCCTCCTTTCGATTGGTTTCTTGTTCTCGTGGAGCGTGGTATGATGTGCATGTTTGGATCTAGGTCCAAATGGATAGATATTAATCCACCAAAAATATTACGTAATATTAAATCGTGAACAAAATGAAGAGAGATTGAATAATAATCTATCATGTATATCAAAAATGTAATTACTTTCGGAGGTTAGTTGAAGATATATTGATAGGGATTGACTGGTTGAGGCCATGTCTCCCACATCTCTAGAAAACATAAGAATGTGACTCGTGATCATAAAAGATCACGACAGAGATCATGGGAGGTCAACTTTGTCTCCTAATCTAAGCGTGTATCATAACTCGACATCTGACAAAATTCTAGCCTTCTTTTCAGGTCAGGTTAGCTCGACCCATTCCATGTTGAGTTGCGCCCTCTTACCAAATTCACTCTCGTTCCCAAATAGTAAAAGGTAAAAGAGAGAATTACAAAGTAAAGTAAAATGTTTTTAAACTTATTTTATTGAAGAAATTGGTGTAAAAATAAAAAAATACAGAGTATAATTTAAATTTTTAAAAATTACGTCAAAAAGTTATATGGTGTATTAAAAATACAAAGTATAAAGCAAAAGATGTCATGATTATATTATTTTATCGAACAATCAATAAAATATATATAAATAAATAAAAGGTATCTTGATTCTAGAATAATAAATGTAAATTTTATTTGAATACTAAAGGAAAATACAGACAGATTAGCTGGTTTGGGCCTAAATATAATACTCCTTATTAAATATGAGGGGGGACGAGTATATTGAATTTTTGTCACTAGGCTTATTTGGATCAACTCTAATATACCCATGTAATTCAAGTGTGATGGCTTAAGAAATCCAAACGCGACGCTAGAATTCCTTTCTTTAACCTTTTTGTAGACGTGGGATAGATATTGAAGTTCTTATCGTGCAAAAAGTCAATCAATTCCTTGAATAACCTTATATTATTTGATGGTACAAAATTTAACATTGATTCTGTTTTTTTTAATAGAATCAAAAATTCAAAAATAAAGTTGCATAAAAAATGAAGGGTAAGATCTATTTTAGATTTCAAAAGAACAACGTGAGATCTTCAAATGGTCTGATGTTACAATATGACATTATGCTTAGTGTCAAAACATCTATATTATTCTTACAAGTATTATTTATAATTTATATTTATTTTTATCATATTTATACTTCACAATTTTCCATTATCTCCGATGGAGCCAAAATTTCACCATTTTTGGCTTTGGGGTGTGATGGAATAAATCAAAATGGATCTCTAAACTATCTGCGCTTCTTTAATTAATGAAGTAGCAGTTAGTCAAACAATGCAACTTTCGACGTTGAGCCGGAGGTCTCTTTGGAAACAGCCTCTCTACTTTCGAGTAGGGACAAGGTCTGCGTACACACACCCTCCCCAGACCCTACTCTTGTGGGATTTAACTGGGTTGTTGTTGCTGTTGTTGTTGTATATTTATACTTCACAAGAAACTGCTTCCATATACGCCCAAACACACATGCTTATTAGAGCAACACAACAAAATCAAATCCAAACACGCCCTAACTCACAAGAAACTGCTTCAATATCATGCAAAATCTTTGGATACACTCATACACAAAGGGTAATGTCAATTTTGTTACACATATATTTATACTATACCTTACACAGAAAGAAAGAAAAAAAACGCATTTCCGAAAATATACAAATTTTTGTGTAAAAATATATATATAAATATTTATTATTATTCAAACTCGAGGATTTCTTGAAGCGAAAATGCACCTGGATATAGGAAAAACAAGATGGTGTTTTATTCAAGGAGCCATTTTTGCATTTTTAAGGTTGCGAACCTTCATCACAAGCTGTTGTCTTTCGCCTTCTACCTCTGCAAACTTGAGGCTTATTTCGGAGTATCTCTCTTGCATTTCCTTCAGCTCGTCTTCCATTGCTTCGTTCCGCTCTCTCAGTAGTGTAATTTCAGTCAATAATTTGTTACTGCTGAAAATGAGAGAAAAAGAAAGAAAGATTTGTAATGAACTTTGAGTGTTCGAAAAAGAGATTAAAGAGAACTCATTTGCATGACAAAATCTCTTCTTTTTTTGTTGTCTAATTTCATAACAGATTCAACATCATTCAAATATCAATGTGTACCTATTTCGAGTTCCACTGTTTCCAAAATTAGAATCCAAGTCTTTTGTAACTACCTGCAAATTGTATAAATGAACCTTTAGCTCCTTTTCAGGTAAACAACAACTTAGACACTCACCTTGGGTGTCATATTATGACACCATCCATTTGAGAGCATTACGGTTCGCCCTTGGGCCCCAAAAAAGTTCTTACCACCTAACGCAACTCTCTAGAAAAGACCCATAGCCATAGCATTTTACTGTAGCATTTCAGCATTTCCAGGGAGCTAGGGAGGAGTAGGAAGTAGGAACCACTTAAGGACCCAATGGAGCAATGTAGAGCTCTGGTGTCATATTATTACACCCAAAACCGGTGTCACTGTCCATGTGGATGAGAGCCCTCACAACCCCGGCACAATGACGCAATATTTAATTGAGCAAAAAAAATGAAGTCATTATTGACAGCTTCGTTTGATAATGGACTAAATCAAAATGGCGCATTGAACTCATTTGCTGGTTTTATGATGTTTGGGTAGTGCTGACCTTTAATGGCTTATGTTCGAAAACCTTTGTTATATTCTGGTTGAGTTCTTCTAATCTTGTTTCTAACTCTCCGATCTTAACTTGAAGATCTTTCTCCTTCTCCAGAAATGAATTTGTTGCAGTCTCAAGGGATTTCTCCTTCAGCTCAATCTCACCCTTTTTCATGCAAAAAAAAAAAACAAATGTCAGTTTCCAAGAAAGAATTATCATGCATTCTTAACTATTTACTACAACAACAAACAAACCCAGTGCATTTTGGACTCTTTAATTTTAAAAATACAAAACTTTTTTTCATAAAGTATATATAAGTTCAGATATACCTCAAGCAACTTGATTTTCTCCTTCAAGCTAATAACATCCTTAAGACCATGGGAAGCAACAGTTCCAAGTTTATTTTTCCTTGAAGTAAGTCTTAGTAGTGCATCTTCTTTCTTCTTTAGATCACCCTTCAAAAGGGACACTTCTTTCCTCAACTTATCTTTCTCCAACTCCCCCTCAGAAAGGCGAGTGTTCAACTCGTTGTATTGCGCCCTAAGAGTGCCCACCTCTAACTGAAGGGTACCCACCAACAAGTCCTTCTCATCCTTGAGACGTGCCACACTGTTCATCTCTTTCAAAGTTTCATCTACCTTTTCATGCATCGTAGCAATCCGGTCTTCCAGTTGACTTTTCTGTACCCGGAGCTCATTTGCTTCGGTCAAGGCTTTAGCGACCAGTTTCTCATTGGCCTGAGACATTGATTCCATTTGCAGAGAGAGCTTCTTGAGCTCCTCCTGAAGCTTCTCTGCAGCATTTGCATTTTGCCACCGTGTCTTTCTAAGTGCTTCTTCTGCAAGAATGGCTCTTTGTTCTTGCTCGACTTTAGAGCGAGAGAGGGCTTCGAGATCGGTCTCGAATTGTTGGGCTAGCTTTTCAAGCTCTTCCTCCAAGCATGAACACTCACATTGCATTTTCAGCTGTTCTTGTAACTGGTTCTGCTCCAGCTTATGCAGCAGGTGGTGGTTTTCCTGTTTCAGGATCTCATAGTCAAGTGCCAGCTGCTCCATCTGCATCTCTACCTCATCTTTTTCTCTTCTGTAGATCTCCAGTTCGTTTTGGAGATCCGTGATCTTTTGTTCAAGCTTGTACGATTCTTTGGCATCGCCGTGGTGTCTCACAAGCTCCTCCAATGCTTTCTGTTCTTCATCGTCGTCATCGTCTATGTCATTTTCGCTGTCATGTTTTAAAGTTAGAATCTTGAAACTTCCAGAATCATTAAGGGTCCTTGAGGGGAAAATAGGAAAAAAAACAAGAGAGAAAACAGAGCAACAACAAACCTAGTAAAATCCCACAAAAGGTAAGGTCTGGGGAGGGAGGTGTGTGTGCCTAGACCTTACCCCTACTCGAAAGTAGAAAGAAAGAAAGAAAGAAAGACAAATTGAGAAAAAATAGCAAGCAGGCTTAATCTCATGCATGTGTTTTTATACAATTTTCAAATACATTTTTTGAATTTATTCTTTTTAATACTAGGAAATCTAAACACTGGTTAAAATTTTGAAAACAGTTAATTGTATTTAATTTGTTTTCTAAGGTGAAGAAAATAAGAAAAGAAGTAAAGAATATCCCTCACCCCCAAGTATATTTTTTTCTTTCTCAAACATTTTTTAGGATCCAAGCATATCCTGGGAGCTGTATGAAACCCATACAATGTTAGGTGAAGCAGCTTAGAAGGCAATAAAATTTAGAGAGAAAACTCAATGATTTATTTTTTAAATAATAGTTTAAACTCGTAATGTTTATGCATTTCTAAAATATATAAATATCAAAAACTTTTCTTCTTTTTTTCTCATTTTATTTTGAAGGTAAGTAAAGGCAAACATTATTAAACTATACCATTTTCTTAGTAGCATTTTTTTTTCATTTCCCTACCATTTTCCATTTTCCAAACATGGCCTAGATATCATTGTGGGTTTGCTGGAAAGACTCATGACCTCCTTGTCCTTCTGTTCCAACATCTCATCAAGATCACGAACAGCAAGAATCAACTCAGAGTTCGAGTCCTGCGTCTTCTCTAGTTGTATCTGAAGATTAGCATTGAGGTCCTTTTGGTAATTCAGTTCTTGTCTGAGTTCGTGAACAAGAGCCCGAACGTCCCCTCCATCAAGCAACTCGTCTTTAGATTTTGCATCATCCAAACGCTTCCTAGATGCTTTCAGCTTCTCACATTCTTCTTTCAGAGCGTCGCGTTCCTCTTTGATGCCAACAATCTCTCTTAGAAGCTCTTGTGATCTTTTGCTCTCCTTCACGATTTGTTTTCGCAGAGTTTGTAGTTCCAAATCAGAAACCTCAGCTTGCCTTGTCAACCACTCCCATTGGGACCTCCTCTCGGACTCCTCATCATTAACTAGTGCACCAATGGACCTTGTCTGAAGCAACAAGGCTTCGTTTGGGGAAGACGACAACAAGTTTGTCTGGACTTTGAGGGCATTACTGTCTTTCACTTGGAAATTATGGGGCGTATCAAGCCCGGAACTGCTCTCAGAACTTGACAGCGTGATGTCTGATTCACTTGATACCCTTCCCCCATTCTGGCTGCTAACCAAAGGAATATTTCTGTGTTCTTGTGTTTCCTATCAAGCAAAAAAGAAAATGTGAAAATATAGCATTAGTCCCTTAGAGGACAAACATAAACAGATAATATGGCTCTGATACCATGTTAAGTACAAGTGTTAGGCCTAACTCATCCCAAAATAACTCTCATAAGGTGAGGTTTAGCTCATAATTATAAAAAGATCTATCCATTCATATTCAGCCAATGTAGGACCAACACCTAGTGATGGGATCTTCATGCATGCCAAAATTCAATGATTTGAAAATGAGACCTTACATCGACATGATTGCCTTCGAAACTTTCATCCATATCATCATTTAATTGAGCCTTCAAAGTCCTATCCTCTGCATCTGGTTTCGCAGTCCCAATTTCATGAATGACACTATGAGATACACAAAAGAAGATTTAGGGCCTATATTCAAATCAATCACAACACCCATTAATAACATCTTGAATTAAACCATCACCTCTGGTGGAGCGAATCCTGGACTCTCTGTATTGATACCTGCAAAAAGCTCAAGAAATAGTGTCCTCGTTAGATCATATCAGAAATGAAGAATATATCGAGAAACTAATAGGGAGGTCAGATATTTACATGCAACACTGCCCCGGATTTTGAATTCTTGAGTGGGAGAGATACTGATGAAACCTTAGTTGCTTCTGCATAGCTTGAAAAATCAATGGAAGCCTCTCCAAGAACTACCGTTTTCGAGGACACCTAAAAAAGAAGACCAACCAGATCACATAGACTCAAAATTGAAACAAAACCAATGTTCAATCTGGCTTTGATTCTGAAAGCTGACTCTACAAATTCTCATTCCAGAGTTATATTCTGGAAAGAATCATTTGCTGACTCAGCGTCCAAAATCTAACTTTTTAGAAGTAATCAACTAATTCTGAAACGGTTGCTTATTGCTTATGGCCTTAAGGGAACATAATCAACCAAAAAGAGAAGTTAAGCCAAATGAGCCATAAGACTTGGGGGATTCGTCCTCAAAGATCAAACTGGTAGGAGGAATACCCCAAGGGCTTATATGTTGGTTTGTATTTTTGTACTTCCCCAATGTAATATGGTATAACAGCAGATGCAAGTAGATGAAGCATTAATACTCACAGTTCCAACTACAAAGTTATATATTTTCTCATGAATCTTCCCCGATTTAGGGTCTCGAATAAGCTTCACAGTTTCATAAACTGCATTGTCCCAGCAACAAATCCCGTCGCGAATGGCAGCCCTATCTAGTTTCACTGTTGGCTTCCCTACATCTGCAGGAACCACAGAGATCAACAATGCATCCCCTGCTACCTGTGAATCCCACAGCAATGAATTGAAATTGGCTCTCGCAAAACACAGAAATACACAAGAGGAAAATGTAGGTTTTCATCGAGAACAAACTCAACCAAAAGATCAAGTTTGTGGTTGTAGGTTCGGAAGAGGTTTTATACTATAATAGTGTCAATCTCGAAGAAGAGACCGATTCATCTGTAGAATTTGATTCGTAGTTGGATCAATGCTCAATCAGGATGAAAAAAACACTAAAAGATCAAATCTAACAGATTGAACAACACTCCATTTCAAAATGGGAACATCAAATTCTCTAATCACATTGCCTTTCTTAGCATGATGTTCATCATTCCATTTCGAAAATGGTGGATTAAACAAGAGGAAATTCAAATTCAAAATTCAAAATTCAAAATTCAATTTTTTAATAACAGTACCTGAGTTGCACGGAACTGGAGCTTGAAAACAGCTTTGAACTTTCCCTTATCGCTCCGCCACCTACCGGGCTTGAACATCTTTCAAACAATCAGACGCACATTTGGCTCAGCCAATCCCCAGAGACTCGCCGGAGCTCCGGCAAAACCGGGCGGAGACCAACCATAAACCCCCAAAGATCGCGACTTTTTCCGAAATGGGAAATGCCCACCTCCCGTATTCCACCGGGGACCGCGGCGGCAGACACAGAGAGAGGAATAGGCGTGTCACTGAGTCGACTCGGCAGGTAAACTCGGAGTGTATCTGCAATCTGCCAGCTTCTTCTTTCAGAAGCTCTGCATTGAACAGTAATGGATGGAAAGAATGGAGCAGATCCAGGCGGTGCTCAATCTCTCTCTGTAAAGCTTCAGAAAGTTTCTCGCTCTAAATCTTGCGTGCGTAACAGTTCTCTCTATAAAAGAGAGAGAGAAAGAGAGAGAGCCGAGCTGACCGAGTTGCAGAGGAGTAAAGTGTACTACTTCTCTCTGTATTTACCAATTACCAGTTTTAAATTTTTTTCTTTCAAATTCAGTAAAGTGACGAACAAACTGATGGCTTGAAATTTACAGAACAACCAAGCCTCCTTGCTCATAAACTAAACCACCCAATAGAATTTCATAAAAGAAAACGGGGTACCTTATGTATAGAGGTGGCAATCGGATCAACCGGATCGGTTTCGGATTGGATTTTTTCGGTTCGGATATCTTTCGGTTATATGTTATAATCGGTTCGATTCGGTTCAGATCGGTTAAATTTCGGTTTGGATTTGATTTCGATTATATACATTTTTCGGTTCGGTTCGGTTTCGAGTCGGTTCAGATACGGTTCGGTTATAAATCGGTTCGGATAGATTTCGGTTCGGATACAATTTGAGTCGGATATATTTCGGTTTCGGGTCTAGTTCGGTTCGGATATATTTCGGTTTCGGATCAAATATATTTTGGATATATATTATTTTCTAAT